ACCTTTTTGAGCCGGGGGCCGGGTTGCTGTCCCTCAGACAATTGGGGGGCCGAAGCATCAAAAATAAATAAATTAATTAATTAAAATTAAAATTCAATTTTTTTAAAAAAATTAAAAAAAAATTAACAAATATATCCATGCACACTCCCTCAGCCCCAGAAAAGCCATGGCAAAACCCCTGTGGAGATTTTGCCAAGAAAACCCCAAGAACAAGTAATAACAACAATAATCAATATGATCATGGCGGGGGGTAGGGGCGGCAGCGGCAGCGGCAGCGGCGGCAGGACCAGCCTAGGGCCGGTCCAAAGGCCTCGGTGGGCCGCATCCGGCCCCCGGGCCTTAGGTTGCCTACCCCTGGCCTATACGGTCAGGTTTGTTATAAGCCAGTCATTTACTTTCATTTTCTCTCAAGCTTTCAAACTTATTTTTATTTATAATTAGGTTGGCTATAGGCCTGGAACTAGCATGCATCTATTTTCATAATATACTATCATCTAATAAACTTCAAGAATTTTTATGAGGTGAACTAAAAATAAATAAATCAGTGCAGCATGTCACAACTCAGCTGGGGAAAACTGTGTAAAAGCTACTGGTCCCATCCCTGTATGCTATCTCAGAGGCTTGTTGTTGAGAATACAACAGAGCACTTCAAGCTAAACTGTGGGAAGGCAGAATACAAATGTAACAGACAAACAAGCAACAGGAAAATATTAATTGTGAAGGTGGAGGATATAAAAATCCCACAAATGCTGATCATGAGAACACTCACCCTGCCTTTGTCCATCGTAATTGCAATCTGCATTCTTCTTCCCCTTCGAAAAGCAACCAACTGATCAATTTCTTCTTCGCTGATGTCTGGGGCCTCCCCTGGGCTCACAAGATACTCTGGTCCCCGCTTTTCATTGACAACCCGCTTTCCCTAGCAAAGATAAATGACACCTGTCTGTATTTGCACAAGAAGCCCTGTCAAGAAGTGTGTGTGTATACTTGCTACATGGAAATTGCTGGTGAAACTGAGAATCTTGACTGATTTAGGACATGAAGAGTTGGATCAGCAGCTGAAAAGAACTCTTCCTCAGGTTCATTTTAGGCTACACAATTATAGCACTGTGATTCCACTTTAATTGCCATGGCCACATCCTATGAAGCCCTGGATTTGCATTTTAGAGATGGGTATTTTAGAATTCAATGCCAGAGAGCTCTAGTTCCTCTCCAAACTACAAATCCTAGGATTCCACAGGATGCAGCTTTGGCAGTTAAAGTGGAAGCATAACACCATAAATCATTCTCTAGGGAAAATTATAGAAATATAACTGCTAATTAATAGTAGCTACCAAGTGTTAATATTCCCAGGATGCATAAAACAATAAATTAGACATTAAAAATGAACACCCCCACCCAAGAAAAATTGCTGCAATTGCAAACAGTTAATTATGGACAAAAACTCATAGTGACAGCAGCAAGGTCAGCTCAACACTTCTCTTTCTTTCTTAATAATAATTTCTCTGATTTTGGGTCAAATAGTCTGAAAGGTCTTTCTTAAATGGATTTTTAGGACCTTCTGGTAAGTCAACAACCTAGTAATATCTACTAGGAAATGCAAATGGACATCCTTTATTTAAGAGGTTCCTTGGCTTTAGAGGATATTCCTGAATTGAAGAGTTTTTCCCCATCACCACAGACCACAAATAAAGACCCCTGACTTCAGAGGTAATGTTTGTTGAGAACATTTGTTGATGATGCGTAGATGATGGACAGGCATTTTGAAGGGGCACAAACTAGTGGGAATGACAATCGTGCTAAAAAAGAAGCAAAAAAAAAAAAAAAAAAAAAGACCCGCTTCCATAGTGGAAATGACTGGAATCATTTCACCAACCTGGAGCGAAAGTGAATCACAAACTGGGTTAAATGTAAGTGAGAATGAGCCTTTGGACAGAAGTCTTGACATCCTGAGAAGAATGTCCTTACCTTCTGCTTTTGGAGGCCTCTTGCTGAGATCACTAGCTAGGTTTGCCCAGCTCCTATTTAGCTGAAATCACTGTAGCCTAGCACTCTCAATTAGACCACCCAGAATCTGGGATTTTAGCCAGAGCATCTCATTAGTTTGTTCTCTTTCGTAAAGTTCTGGCAGTGGCACATAGGATCTTGTTTAGTCTGCCTTCTGTTTTTTTGCACTGCTTCAAACAAAAGTTCAGTGCTCCCCTTATACATTTTTGTAGGAATATCTGGCTTCCAGATGAGGGACTGAAAAAGAGTACTAGGTGCTTGTGAAGACACACCCAACTAAATGTGGTAGCAAATATGGGTGTGCAACGCCAGTACCCTGGTGAGATCAAACTCTTTTACCCAAAAAGGCTCCAATGCTGAATGTAAAGTCCAAAAGGGGGAAATTTAATTTGAAGAACAAAAGAAAAAGGTTTCTCCTCCCAAGCTCTAACAGGCTTAAAATAAAAGGTACTTTACAGTTTAGGTTTCAGCAATCTTCAGGGTTGTCATCTCTCTGGGTTTGATCTTGATTTTAATCTCCTACTCAATGAAGCTGGTGCAGGGTCTTTCAGCTTCCGGTGCTCTTGACTTCTTTGTTGTTGATGTTTACTTTTATTAACTGCTTTTGGTAACTAATCTAGCCAAATGGTAACTAAATTGGCTAATGGTAAATAAATTGGCTAAATGGTGTAAGAAATGCCCTTTCCGTCTGTCTGTGCCTGTTTGCCACCAAACAGATAAAGCCAAGCCTGCCTAAAAAAACTAAAAATCCCAAGCTGAAGCAGAGCTTTCTGGGAAGGGGCAAACCAAAAACTAGAAAAATGCAGGGGATTCCTACAGCTCCTACCACAAACTAATACAATCGAACATTCCTATGCTCAAACACACTAATGACTAAACCAAAAATGAAGGAAAATGCAGGGGAGAATTTAAACAGTCCAGGCTGGACATCACAGTGCTGTAAGCTATCTTTCAGAGGAAGGCAATGGCAAGCCACCTCTGAGTATTCCCTTCCTAACAAACCCTATGAAATTGATTTGATCACACACTCACTCTCTCACACACATTAAGAAGAGTGCAGCAGGTCTAGTGGAATATGAGGTTTTAGTAGTAACAGGAATAATTACTCAGGATGCTCTTGTAAGTTTAAAAAACCTTAATATTCATTGTTCTTGGGATTAAAAAGAAGACAGACAAAAGAAGTTGACCTATACTGGGTTACAAGAGCCCCTAAACGCTGGCTTTCATGTGGTGGAAGAAGCTAGCATTTTTCCTAAACAAGTGCAGTTCCCCACTTATTCCCTATTTGTTATATGTCTGGCCCAAGGAAAATTCTATACTGCCCTTTCTTTCTTTCTTTCTTTCTTTCTTTCTTTCTTTCTTTCTTTCTTCTTTCTCTTAGCAACTCCTGAACCTCTGATGGCTTAGCACTGCCAAACCTATGCCTCAATCTTGCACTGTATGGCATCTCAAAGGGCAGCTTGGATTCTGAAACCAGAGGCAATCTTACTTAAAATTTCATTTTAAATAGAATGTGAATTTCAGCACAGATTATCCTGGGCTAGAACAGTTTTTTGATGAAACAAAGTGTACATCAAGCTCGACATTTGCCTCAGTGTTGGAGATGGAAGCCTTGCCGAGCTATCTTTATGAAGTTAATATTTCTCCATCCTGGAAGCAACTGTGCTCTGTGTATGTGCCTTCAAGTGACCTGTCAACTTATGGTGACCTCATGAATTTCACAGGATTTTCTTAGGCAAGGAATACTTAGAGGTGGTTTTGCCAGTTCCTTCTTCTGAAATATAGCCTACAATATGTGGTATTCCTTGGTGGCCTCCCATCCAAGCACTAACCAGGACTAACCCTGCTTAGCTTCCAAGATCAGATGGGATCTAGTGCCTTTAGAGTATTCCAGCTGTTCTCTAATAACTTGTTATTTGTGTTATGCATTTACTACTATTTATGAAGCTCTTCCATAATGTTTGCTAGTTCCCAGGGCAATTATTGTGTATATTTGGTGTTAGATAGCTCTGTAGGAGAATGTGAGTTATTGAGTCCGATCTAAGACATACTACAGGTGTATATACCTGATAGCACAGTTACTTATGCTGAGAAAGACCCAAATATATGTTCAGTTTTCTATATATCCATATCATAGTTTGGAAATCTAACCTTTTTAGGGGGCTCATTTCCAGACCCCTCCATCCACCAGAAGAGATTCTGGGAGTCACTAATGAATATAATAACTTTTCTAAGGCCTGAACCATATTTAAAAGGAGCACACATTGAAGAAGATGCTAAATATTTATTATTATATTAATTTATTAAAATATTTATATCCCACTTGCTAGCTAAAATTGCTCAAGGCAGCGTACAAGAGAAACAATTTGATCAATTTAAGATAATGCAAATAAGTAAATTATTTTAAAGGGTTAAAGCAGGGGTAGGCAACCTAAGGCCCAGGGGCCGGATGCGGCCCACCGAGGCCTTTGGACCGGCCCCAGGTTGGTCCTGCCGCCGCCGTCGCCGCCACCGCCATCCCCCACTGCCCACCGCTGCTGCCCGCCATGATGATATTGATTATTGTTGTTATTACTTGTTCTTGGGGTTTTCTTGGCAAAATTTCCACAGGGGTTTTGCCATGGCTTTTCTGGGGCTGAGAGAGTGTGCATGCATATTTTTTTTTATTTTTTTAAATAATTTTTTATTTTTATTTATTTATTTATGGTGCTTTGGCCCCCCAATTGTCTGAGGGACAGCAACCCGGCCCCCAGCTCAAAAAGGTTGCCTGCCCCTGGGTTAAAGGGTTAAAGACGTATTTAAAAACTTAACTAATAATAGGACTGATTACAACTGGTTAAAATAGTTTTAAATGATTTAAAAGCATACACACATGTGAATTTGTGTAAAACTAATTAGGCTCCAAAGGCTTTGATAACCAACCAAGTTTTCACTTGGTGCTGGAATGATAGCATAGTTGGCACTAATCAGACAACTAAGGGGAAAATGAGAGAGCCAGTGTGGCATAGCTGTTTGAGTGTTGGACTACAAGTCTGGAGACCAGGGTTCAATTCCCAGCTTGGCCATAAAACCCACTGGGTGATCTTGGGCAAATCACATGCTCTCACCTCTGGGTAAGGTGATGGCAAACTTCCTCTGAAGAAATCTTGCTAAGAAAACCCCATGATAAGATTGCCTTAGGGTTGCCACAAGTCGGAAATGACTTGAAGGCACACAACAATAACAACAAAAGGGGAAAGTGTTTCATAGCTGGGGTGCCACAGCAGAGAAGCCCCTCTCCCATGTCCTCCAACAGTATTGCATTGAATGATGGGATACAGGGCCCCTTTCCCATTTTATACCAATTTCCATTTGACCAGATTCTCATTGATAGTTACCAATATATTCATTACAATCCATGCTGTGCCCAGAGAAGTAAATTCCCATGGTATAGTGAACATATGTCTATAACAAGTAGATAATTTTGTTATGGTACTGGAATTTTGTAGCACTAAATTGTCTTATGGGCCATACGCTGGAAACTGTACACCAGGGTTAGGTGAGGCAAACTCAAAACTGGGCTGCCACCCCATTTCTGTTTCTCCCCTTCTCTCTTCCCCATTCCTTCTGGGCAAGAAGCAGATTATTCTTGCCAGAGGTCTGTAGTGACTGCTTGAAAAGATCATTTGAAATCAGGCTGAGGGCCACATGCAACCCAAATTGCACACCCTTGTACTAAATGAATCAGTTTAGTCTTTTATCAGCATGTCATTTTCCTCATTCCAGAACCCCTTGGGAGGGCAGTGTAAAGTTCAGCTAATTCTCATCACGGCTGATGGATTGTCTTCACTTCTGTTTCTTGCCACTGACATGTTCCCCCCCCCCCCCAGATAAAGCCGTTGTGACTGTACAGAAACACAGCAAAACACACATTTTATTCCGGATCATTGAAATTCTCACTGGTTTGAATGACAGCAGTTAGCACTCTTTGAATCTAAAAAGACTCATACTTTTGATCTAATTTTTTTCTTCTCCAGTACTAAATAGTAAAGGTAAAAAAAATTCCATTGGCTTAGCTGTAAGCAATCATTGTGGTCCACAGATTTAGGCAGGCCTTGATAGTTGGCCACAATGTGCATTTTCCAGGCTCCCAGTGATACCCCCAACAGTGAAGGTATAACTATTTCTGTCCCATGCCACAGAAATGAAGCATAGAGTAAAAACTGGGGATGTCTCCTTTCCCTTTAATGACTATGTAGAAGAGGGAACTTCAGCAGATGTTTCTTGTTACACAACCAGGTAACATACAACACTCAGTGAAACTTCCTTTTTTACCCGTTCACTAGAGAAACAGGAAGAGGTGGGCATACACCAAATCTTGGTTCCTCCAGAGCTCTGTTGGGCTGCCACATATTATTATAAGCTACCATTTTGGACAACTAGAAGTGGCCATGCATCTGGTATTCAACTTCTGGTTGTCTTTTCCACCATGGGGGGTTGTTTTGTGGGGTAAAGCCCATGAAACATAATTTTACAGCTCCACACACTTCAGTGTCTTCTTGGATGCTGAAAAAATTGAGTGGTATCAGGACAGTCATCATGGCATAGTGGTTTGAGTGTTGGTCTATGACTCTGGAGACCAGGGCTCAATTCCCAGCTTGGCCATGAAACCCACTGGGTGACCTTGGACAAGTCACATGCTTTCAGCCTCAGAGGAAGGCAATGGCAAGCCACCTCTCAACAAATCATGCCAAGAAAGCCCTGTGATAGGTTCACCAGAAGTCGGAAACAACTTGAAGGCACACAGCAGCAGCAACAACAAACAACAGGGCCTTGGCAGGAGTACTCTGAGTCCCAAGGGCTGCACTAGCTCTTCCAAGGGGCTGCTTGTGTCTTACAAACCACATAACAATACCCCACCTCCACTCCCCCAGTATCAGCAAGTTTTGCTAACTGATGGGAGAGGAATATTTCAGGGCTCAAATTCTGGCCCCTGCTGTACCTCAGGTTTCTGCCTTGTGCTCTGTTGTGAGTGTTGAAGCAATGCTGGGGTGGATGGGAGGAATGTGTGTGACATATCATGAGCCAAAAGCTTTATCATTCAGCTGTTATGCTCAGCGGACTCTGATGATTGCAAGATCAGAAGATTGGCAGTTTGAGGCCCAAGTGCCGCATAATGGAGTGAGCTTCCATCACTAGTCCCAGTTTCTATCAACCTAGCAGCTTGAAAACATGTAAAATAGATAGTATTATCAAGTAGATAAATAGGTACCACTTTGGTGGGAAGGTAACAGGGTTTGATGCAGTCATACTGGCCACATGCTCACCGCAGTCATCTTTGACAATGCTGGCTCCCTTGGCTTAGTAACAGAGGTGAACACCTTCTCTTACAGTCGGACACAACTTGACAACCTTGTCAAAGGGGAATACTTTTACCTTTTAAAAATAACTTTGCTTTTCCTGATCTCTTTGTAGCAATCAAACAGGTAAGAGACTCAAAAAATCATTTGAAGCCAGAGAAGCCAGAGATTTTGTTCAGAGGTTCAAAGGTAAGTTCAAATTGTTCAAGATTCAACGGTAAGAAACTTCATTCGCACTACACAGTTATAGCACTATCATTCCACTTTAACTGCCATGACAATATTCTGTGATTTTCAGTTTAGGGAGAGGTATTTCGAATCCTCAAAAAGAAAGATCTCGTGCCTCTCAAAATTACAGATCCCAGGATTGCACAGGATGCTGCTATGGTAGCTGAGATGGAATCATAGTGCTACAATTGTGATAAGGGGTGCTATTCAATGGAACTCACACTATATTGCTAAGGGGGAGAGAAAGTGAAAAAAATGGGGAAAGAGAAAGTGTGCACTCACCCTATTTTCTATATTTTAAAACAGAGGTTTTAGGGTTTTGTTAATAATTTTGTGAAGGATGTTTTTAAAGTGTGACCCTCAAGCATTTGACTAATGTTGAAAGTATTCCCCAGCTAGGTTCCAGTTGCTCTCTCCTTTTTTAAAGAAACAGAACAGCAAAGAGTTTTGATAAACTAACAGTGGCATATCTTCCCACAATTCACAGATGAAAACTGAGACCTGTATGGCCAGACAACATCAGAGTGTGGTCACGATGGCAAAAATTATTAATGAGGAACACACAATAGGACAGGCTGTAGCAGATTGCTATTGCCTTAGCCTTCTGGGAAAGGTAAGATTTCACCCTTCCTCCTCTCTTTTCCTCCCACTGAATTAATTGAGGGCAAATTACCTCTGTAATTTGAACTCAGTTTGCAGCAAATGAAGCAAGCGGTGGACAAAGGGGGATGAGAAGCTAGAAACTGGGATATTTTTAAAGCAGTTGGAAAAATGAGACTACAGTGGATTAACTGGGACAGTTGGAAGGTATGCAATGGTAAATTAAATGGGCAGCTTGGAACGAGAATTGTAATTTATTCTTTTAAGAAAGTAATTTCCCAATCTCTGCTTCCTCCCAAGGAAAAATCCTCCTTATTCTGCTTTAAACAGGCAGTACAGATTGTCCTATTCTATCAGGTTTTTCATGTTTCTTTTAATAAGTTTTTAATTGCTATTCATATAGATTTTTGTATGGTTTTGTTCCTTTGTTTCTCTGTTTATGTAAAGTTTTAAAGTTTGTATTGTACATATGTTCTGCTAGGTTCAGGGTGCAGTTTTATAGATCCAATATTCTATTTATTTATTTGTCAGAATATTTATATCCTGTCTTATATTGTGAGGACAAAGTAATATCTATTTAAGCATATTAAAACAATAAAAATGATAAAAATAGTCATAAGAAATACAGAATATTCTAGTCAAATGTGAAAGCTTCTGACATCATTCTAAAACTGGATTCATACTGGCAGGTAGCTTTTACAGAAAGTATCCAAATAATTTTATTGCAGCCATTCACAATGTTGTGGTTTCTTAGCAAAGCTTTGCAAAGTCACTTTTTTGGAGAATAATTTCCAGAATCCTCTAACTGGCTAGGAAGTTCTGGGAGATGTAAAAAAAAAAAAAAAAAAAAAAGGAACTTTTCTCAGTTTTATTTGTAAGTATCCATTTTTGGGTCTCTCCTGTCTTTGACAGGTCACCTCTGATTATTCAATAAATGAATGTAAACATGCCAAGTTAACTCCTACTGCAGTTATTCTAATCAGTTCATTTAATTCTCTGCACATATGCCAGCACAACTTAATGTGATGCGTTGTTTTGATTGCCACTATGAGCTGAGCAGATGTCCTCACCAAGCTGTCCCCAAAGATGCCTGGAGAGAGCTTTCTGAAGTGGTTGAAATGAATGTGCAATTCAATCTGGCATTAAAAGACTGAAGGGTCACATTAGTCTGAGTGCATGCTGCTTCTTTGTGACTGCTAGAGTTTAATATTCATGACAATGATCCCTAATTGGCTAAAAAGCTACGCATTGTGTAGGAGGAACATTCTCACAAAGATTACCAGCCAAGGGCTCACTTGCTCAGCAGTAATAATGATATGGATTTCAGTAAGAGGTCAATTACTCTGAAAGAGGTGGTGTGTGAATACCAAATAAGTCATTGGGTGGCCGTGTAGACTATGCTGAGCTGAGACACTGGGGAACCAGATTTGGTACCTGTCCGGACATGAAACTTGATGGGTTGAGTTGTTGGAGAACCAGATTCAAAACCTGCTTGCATATGAGGCTTATGGGGCACAGCACTCATTGAACAACACAAACCTATATGTGTTGACTTGGAAGTAGATCCCTTCTATGATTTCCTAGATCTCAGCACCTGGCCCTTCTTCTCTGGGCCACAGGGAAATAGGAAAAATCTTAGGGCAACAGCACTGCTCTAAAGATTGGAAAAAACTTCTACAGACTCTTCAGAAATGTTTTTCCCTCCCTCTTTTATCTCATTTGTTAAAATTTGCAGTTTGTTTTTCTTATATGACTTGTATACTCTCAGCAACTGATGTTTAATTAATATGCTTAATGACATCACCAGGTCTCAGGTTTGGTCTCTAAAATCTTAGCCTGAGATGCTCCTGACCTGGCAATCCTTTCTGAGATCAATGGAGTTTACTCATAGGAAAAGG